GGTGGTAACGGGTGACGGAGAATTAGGGTTCGATTCCGGAGAGGGAGCCTGAGAGATGGCTACCACATCCAAGGAAGGCAGCAGGCGCGTAAATTTCCCAATCCTGACATAGGGAGGTAATGACAATAAATAACAATACTGGGCTTTTTCGAGTCTTGTAATTGGAATAAGAACAGTCGTAAACTCCTTCAACGAGGATCCATTCGAGGGCAAGTCTGGTGCCAGCAGCYGCGGTAATTCCAGCTCCAATAGCGTACATTTAAGTTCTTGTAGTTAAAAAGCTCGTAGTTGGATTTTGGGTGGGAGGGGTTGGTCCGCTCTTGCGGGMGTGTACCGGCCCTTTCGCCTTTCTTGCCATATTTGCGTTCCTTGCCTTTATTGGCTGGGATCGAGAGCCGGCGCTGTTACTTTGAAAAAATTAGAGTDTTCAAAGCAGGCCTGTGCTCTAAACATATAAGCATGGAATAACGCAAAAGGACTCTGGTCCTATTCCGTTGGTCTTCGGGATTGGAGTAATAATTAATAGAGACGGTTGGGGGCATTCGTATTCCATTGTCAGAGGTGAAATTCTTGGATTTATGGATGACGAACTTCTGCGAAAGCATTTGCCAAGGACGTTCTCATTAATCAAGAATGAAAGTTGGGGGATCGAAGACGATCAGATACTGTCCTAGTCTCAACGATAAACGATGCCGACTAGGGATTGGCGGATGTCTATTGGATGACTCTGCCAGCACCTTGTGAGAAATCAAAGTTTACGGGTTCCGGGGGGAGTATGGTCGCAAGGCTGAAACTTAAAGGAATTGACGGAAGGGCACCACCAGGCGTGGAGCCCGCTGCTTAATTTGACTCAACACGGGGAAACTCACCAGGTCCAGACATAGCAAGGTCTTGATTCTATGGGTGGTGGTGCATGGCCGTTCTTAGTTGGTGGATTGATTTGTCTGGTTAATTCCGTTAACGAACGAGACCTCAGCCTGCTAAATAGCTAYGCGGGGACCTTTCCTCGTGGCCAGTTTCTTAGAGGGACTGTTAGACGACTAGCCAATGAAAGTTTGAGGCAAAAACAGGTCTGTGATGCCCTTAGATGTTCTGGGCCGCACACGCGCTTCACTGATGAATCCAACGAGTCGCTTGCCTGGGTCGAAAGGCCCGGGTAACCTTCTTAAGGTTCATCGTGACGGGGATAGATTGTTGTAATTATCGATCTTGAACGAGGAATGCCTAGTAAGCGCGAGTCATCARCTCGCGCTGATTACGTCCCTGCCAAACTTTGTACACACCGGCCGTCGCTCCTACTGATTGAATGGTCCGGTGAAGTGTCTGGATGGCGGTGATCTCGGCGGTCTGACGATGGGGGTGCTGTGAAAAGTTCTTTGAACCTTATCATTTAGAGGAAGGAGAAGTCGAAACCAGGTTTCCGTAGGTGAACCTGCGGAAGGATCATCGACACGTCAATGGCCGATCTTCGGGGTGTGGGACGCTGGCTTGCTCGCCCTTCCGCCGCCCTTTGCCCCCCATCCTCCCTGCATCCGCTTTTCTCTTCCGTTTCAGCACCATCTTGGGCTTAGTGCCTAGTTGGCGGCTGGCCCGGCGCAAAGGGGCGCGTGGTGTAGGTCGAGGGTGGGGAGAGTGGGCAGGGTCTGGGGCCTTGTGGCGTTGCTCCCCCTTCATCCCGTCTCTCCTCCGCAAGTTGTTACCTCGGCCCAGCCCCACTCTCGACTTCTGGTCGGGATGGCGGTTGGTCCGGGCACAGAGAACCCTGCGGGAGGGTCAAAGGAGGGATGTTGGGTGGTGGCGGCTGTCCTAGGCCTGCGTACCCCCGCTCCTTCCCGTCTCATCTTTGTCCAGACCTCCTTTCCATCCCGGCCTCGACCTCGGCTTCCTGCGGAGCTTGTGGCTTGTTTGGGGATCGAGGGTCGTGGTACAGGCTAGGGACGGGGTATGTTGCGGGGTCCTCGGCCCCTCCCCGTTTCGTCCTGCCTTCCTTCCCAACGGGGTTCTCCTTTCCGGACAGATCGKCGTCCTCGACACAGTCGAGGTGGTCTGAATTTTGGGGTGGAGGGCCGTTGGGGGAGGGTTTTGGTCGTGAACAGGGTGGTGTCGAGTTGGGGGGGAGGGAGGAGACAGCGCTAGCACCCTCGTTGCCCCGCTACTCGCCGGTGCCCTGCCTGGCCCCCCGAACGGGGGGTCGGGCGGGCCCGTGGCAGYGGCTGGTGGCGACGGCTTTGCAACTTCTTATTGATGTACCTGCTCTGATTTGTCGCTGTCCGGGTTGACGGCCCCCGTCTGTTCTGGTCGAGGGGTCGGTCCTGTCGGAACGACACCATATTGTACAACTTTCGGCAAACGAATATCTTGGCCCTCGCAACGATGAAGAGCGCAGCGAAATGCGATACTGAATGTGAATTGCAGAAATCCGTGAGCCATCGATACCTTGAACGCACGTGGCGCCCAAGGCTTCTGCCGAGGGCACGCCCGCCTGAGCNCGCAGCGAAATGCGATACTGAATGTGAATTGCAGAAATCCGTGAGCCATCGATACCTTGAACGCACGTGGCGCCCAAGGCTTCTGCCGAGGGCACRCCCGCCTGAGCATCATTGGATTCCTCACGACCTTAGCACCTTCCGTTTCGGGGAGTGGTGGGGTCCGTGGTCGTGGCTTCCCTCGCTTCCCAGTTGGAGAGCGTCGATAGCCTAAAGTGGAAGGGAATTGGAGAGCATTCTGAGCGGCCCTGTAGGGGCCTCAGCCCGGAGTGGTGCGTTTCGCTTCGCCCTGTTGTTGCCCTCCTGCACCCGTTTGTGGGTAGTGGTCTTCGTTTCCCTAAAAACAACACGTAAGGTCGTCCCTCCGGTTTGTGTGGTCGCCGCCTTCTATTCGCTCCTATCAGCTTGAGGTGGGCTTGCGGTTGGGGGTGTCGGCCTCGAGCTGTGGAGGTACGTCGGGCCTTGCCTTTTGATCTCAGGTCGGGCAGGAGCACCCGCCCAATTTAAGCATATAACTAAGCGGAGGAAGAGAAACCAACAAGGATTCCCTTGGTAGCGGCGAGCGAACCGGGAATAACCTAGACTGAAAATCCAGGGGCTGTGTTGCTCCCTGAATTGTAGTTTTGAGAGGCAACCTCTGCAGCGGGCCGTGCGCAGGTTCCCTAGAAGGGGACGCCGAAGAGGGTGACAGCCCCGTCGACCGCCGGACCCTGCTGCGCAACGAGGTGTTGTCCAAGAGTCGGGTTGCTTGGGAATGCAGCCCCAATTGGGTGGTAAGTCCCATCCAAGGCTAAATATGTGCGAGGGACCRATAGCGAAGAAGTACCGCGAGAGAAGGATGAAAAGAACTTTGAAAAGAGAGTTAAAGAGTGCTTGAAATTGCCGAGCGAGAAGCGTATGGAGGGGAAGTCGTGCGCTCCCGTCTGGGCAGGGGTCGACAGCGAATGCGTTGTCGACCCCCCTTACTGGACGTGGGGTGCCTGCCAGCATGGGCTGCTGTGACCGGCATTGCGGTGGGGAGCGATTGAAACCCGCCACGGGTAGCCGTCACGGCAGTCGAGGACCTTGAGCACGCGCCTCTTTTGGCGGGCGCATTCGGGTTCCTGCGTGTTCGGGATGCTGGCGAAATTCCTCTATGCTGCCCGTCTTGAAACACGGACGAGGGAGTTCAACGTGCATGGGAGCCGGTGGGTGATTAGCCCACGAGGCGGAAGAAACCTGAGTCGTGGGAACCCTCTGCGGGTGCACCGTCCGCCAACCACGATCGGTTGTGAGAGGTTTGAGTGTGAGCATGCCCGTTGGGACCCGAAAGATGGTGAACTATGCCTGAGCAGGGCAAGGCCAGAGGAAACTCTGTTGGAGGCTCGCAGAGATACTGACGTGCATATCGTTCGTCGGACTTGGGTATAGGGGTGAAAGACTAATCAAACCGTCTCGTAGCTGGTTCCCTCCGAAGTTTCCCTCAGGATAGCTGGAGYTGTTGAACAGTTTTATCGGGTAAAGCGAATGATTAAAGGCCTCGGGGGTGAAACACCCTCGACCTATTCTCAAACTTTAAATAGGTAAGATTTYGGGGTTGCTTAAGCGAACCCCGAGGATCAATGGAAGCTCCAAGTGGGCCATTTTTGGTAAGCAGAACTGGCGATGCGGGAAGAATCAAAAGTCGAGCTACGGTGCCAAACTGCGCGCTAACCCAGACACCACAAAGGGTGTTGATTGATACAGACAGCAGGACGGTGGTCATGGAAGTCGAAATCCGCTAAGGAGTGTGTAACAACTCACATGCCGAATCAATCAGCCCCGAAAATGGATGGCGCTGAAGCGCGCGACCTATGCTCGGCCCTCGCGGCGATTCTGACGCCGCGACGAGTAGGAGGGCGCGGGGCCTGCTGCGAAGCCTGGAGCGTGAGCCTAGGTGAAGCGGGTCCCGGTGCAGATCTTGGTGGTAGTAGCAAATATTCAAATGAGAACTTTGAAGACCGAAGTGGAGAAGGGTTCCATGCGAACAGCGCTTGGACATGGGTCAGTCGGCCCTAAGAGATGTGGAAACCTTGTATCAAGGGCGCACTGCGCGCCGCACATCGAAAGGGGGTCGGGTTAATATTCCCGAACCCTATTGTGGAGGTGGACGGTAACGTAACCAGCTCCGGAGATGCCGGCGGGGGCCGTGGGGAGGGTTCTCTTTCCTTCTTGACGGCTCGCCCACGTTGGAATCGGATCAACCAGAGATAGGGTGAAGCGCCCGACAAAGCATTGCGCGTCCTGTGGTGTCCAGCGCGCCCCCGAYGGCCCTTGAAAATCTGGAGCTGCGCGTACCTCTCACGCCCGACCGTACTGATAACCGCATCACGTCTCCTAGGTGAGAAGCCTCTGGTGAAAGGAAGAATGTAGGTAAGGGAAGTCGACAATATGGATCCGTAACCTTGGGAAAAGGATTGGCTCTGAGGGCTGGGCCTAGGGGTCTGCGCCTCGATGTCGTTGGCTGTCGGTGGTCTGCCCTAGCTGCTCTTGCGGCGATGGCGGAGCCCTCGTGCCAGGGTGCCTTGGGGCGTAGAATGTCTTATGTCCCCACCTTTCGGGTGGGGCCGTGGGACTCTCCCTAAGCATCAAACTGCCGACTCAGAACTGGTGCGGACAAGGGGAATCCGACTGTTTAATTAAAACAAAGCATTGYGATGGTCCCAACGGATGTTGACGCAATGTGATTTCTGCCCAGTGCTCTGAATGTCAAAGTGAAGAGATTCAACCAAGCGCGGGTAAACGGCGGGAGGGGAGTGCGGAGGTGGAAGAAGTGAAGCAACAGCTGGGCAGCCCGCCGGACGAGCAAGAGCAGCGGGGTGACGTAATGCAGGTCAAGGTAAACCCCGCAGTGGAACCCTCGAGTCGTCGGGAAGGGAAAGAGGGTGTGATTGAACCGGCTACGGAGTGGGTGCAGGGGGAGACGAGTGGGGAGTGGACGGATGAGCCCCCCCCTCAGGAAATGGAGGAAAGAACAGTGGTAGGTACGGAAGGGCAGGGGGAGGCAGCGGTGATGAGTCGGGGACGGGTTAACGAGGCTCGGACGAAGGAAGCAAGAACTGACGGGAAGGGGGAGGATTGACCGGCCCCGCTCGACGGGCAGGAAGAGGGCTCTATGGACGAGGCTTGTAGTGGAACTAGGGACGAGAATTACACCCCTCGGGAGGCGGGGCGCGAGACAGGCCAACATACGGTAGTGGTGATCGAACCTGGGGGGGACAGCATGTTGGAGGGGATGGCGAGGAAAACTGCGACAACTTAAGGAGGAGGGCAGGACAAGGCCGAAGGGGCACCGGGACGGATTGATGGGCCGGGCCGAGACAAGGAAGTGGTGGTTGACCTTGTGAAGGGAAGTACGCTAGTAGGGAAGGACGGTGAGGATGTGGTGATCCAAGGAGGACATTTGGAAAGGGAGGATGGTAAGGACGCGGTCGGTGGATGTGCGGGGGGAAGCACGTTGGAGCGGATGGCTAGAGAAAGGGAGAGCGAGTTGCCCCATGGGCGACTGCTGGCGAAGGGCGATGGTGGGAATGGAGGGTTGTGTGAGGGGGAGCAAGGGAGTGCTTCAAAGGAGGGGGAGGGGGGTGGGGGAAGAAAGGGGGACGGGGTGGGGAGTGGGAAACCACCTCCGGGGTGCGATGGGCAGTGAGAGTGTTGGCTCCTGGTCCCTTACGGCAGGGCGGAATCGGGCGCGGAATCAACGACTGTACACCTCCGAGTCCCGAAGGGAGTCTCTGGTAATCGATCGAATGAGGCGGT